TGCTTCATCGAAAGTTGGTCATATTGTTGTCGTCGCACACTGTCTCGACCTTTTCATCCCTCTGGTGCGAGTCGCTGTGTAAACTTACCCTTCATCCTCTTCCATTTTTCAGGTCCATGCTGCCAGATGTAATCGACGCCTTCTCGCTGGAACATAACATGCGACAAGAGGCCGTCTTCTACTCCCTATATGTCTTCTTCAACAAGTTTGCCGTTGGTCTCTCTCTAGCCTTCTCTGCTGTTGTCTTGGGGTGAGTTTACGTGCACAGTACCCACTTTGCCAGACTTGGCAGCTCTACCGTCAAACACAATCGAAATTAGAATGTAGACTACAGTGAAACAGAGGCATGCTTAACGTAACCGCCATCCTTCCACATGCATTCTGGTTCAAGGCCACTGGATAGCCAAATACATAGAGAGAGAACTATGCACTAAATGGCTCCATTCCCTTGGAGCAAGGGATAAGGTAAGATAAAGGATCATAGAATACTCAGAAGGTTGACATGATATTCGCGTCTGATTTGAGAGCATTCGGAATTTCTGTTTCTTCACATGTGAGGTAGCGTGCTTGGAATTGGAGTATAGAGTGCTGATATGTCGATGTACGACAAGACATATGACAGAAATTTCGGCGCATACTAAGGGGAGATTTCGCAGCCATAAGCTCACAGTCGCCAAGAATACAGTGAGAAAATCGCTTAACTGTTTTAAAATGCCGCTGTATTATAATATCAGCTAACAAATTATAGGAAACACCGGCAGCTGAAGAGAGCATTCGGAGGATACGTTTAAACATGACCAGGTCTTTTTTAAGTAAGACTGAACAAGTAACTGGAGAGCAGTAAGGAAGGAGGGGGGGGGAATGCAGGCATCCAAAAATCACCAGATTATGGCTTGCAGTGTGGGATATGAACGCAAACGGCGGCCTTTAATGTGAAGAGTAAATGAAGGGTTAGGTGTCAGAGTAACACTAAGGTACCGGAAAGGGCATACCTCATTGGGCAGAATGTGTATGGTTTTAGGACTGGGAGAGGGTCGCGATCAAAAAACACACTGGACTGACTTCGGGTTGTTTAGTAGACGATCGTTTGCTAAAGACCATGCTGAGACGTGGTCCAGGCCACCTTTCAGAACTAGATGTATTTGACTTTTGAAAGGATAGCCAATAACAGCTTAATAGTACGATGACCAGATATGGGCATTAATCATGTTGATTAATGATTAAACTCCTCTTTCTCTACTTCCTTCTTCCTTTTTCTGCTTCCCCTCTTCTTCCTCTTCCTATACAACTTCTTCATATTGACCTACCCCTTCTTTTCTTACATTCTTTTCCCTTCGTTCAAGACTCTTGTCACC